AGAATTCATTCCTCGAAAAATATGACTTTTTACAGGTTTACGAAATGGAAACTTTACAAAATAACCCAAAAATACAATCCTATATGCAAAAATTACTCAAATTCGATTTCTAATTGTTAAGAACATGTTAAGTTAACCTATCCATCAGAAAAAATTAACTTTGCATTTTCCATTTCTTTGCATTTCGAATCCAAATTGGAATTAATTTGCGTTACGTATATGTAACTGTGGACATTAATGGGTTAACAGGTTTTTCAAATTCGAATGATCCAATAAAAATGTATACGATATGAATTGAGATAGATAGACGTAGAAGCAAATCACTTGCTGTACAAAAAAAATTAAATAAAATCATCAGAATAAAGGTCAAACATCGAAATAATTGCAATATCTACCTTATACTTATTTTTCGATAATTAAACAAAAAATATTTCCAAATAGTCTTCTGTAACCCACATTAATTTGTACTTAAATATAAACTTAATACGACATACAATAAACATATGTATGTATGAATGTATGTAGATATGTATATACATATAATTGAACTCAAATCAAAATAAAACTTACCATCATTTTCCATACAAGGACTACCAGCCGATGAACATACAGAGAATATATAATTTTGATTATCCTGCTGCAATTTAAATGGTTTATCCATTAAGGAACTCATATTAATTCTGTTCATTTAACACAAATGTTAAATGTATAAAGAGAAGAAAATAAAAAATAAACATTTTATAAGAACAAATATCAAATTATTGTAAAATCATTGATTGACTACAGAAATACATGGAGAAATTACTTACATTTCGTTGTCATGTGTAATAACAGTACAAGGTGGTAAATCATTACAGGCCAACGGAGTAAGAAATGAAAATTCATATGAACAACCATGTAGACCCATTAATTCTGGATGGGCATTCTGTGGTAAGAAAAATAAAAATTTAAATCCAATTAGTAAAGGAAAATGTATATTTACGTAGATGTAATACATATGTCGATGAGCATGTAAACATTTTTTTTTATTAATGAAAATTCATAGGAAAGTATGGAAAAATCAAATTTGCTAAATTAAAAGGAAGAATACACAAATTATTAAGGTCAGGAGGAGATTAACTTTACCATCATGACGGAAAAAACATTATTTAAATTACATTTATAGTAATGACACGATGTTTACAGAAGCCGACAGCATTTGCTTTATATTAATTATAAAGTACGTTAGTTTTTTGTAGTAGAATAAACCTTAGTTTAGTTAGATTAAAACAATTTTTGGCGAATTTTAATCAATGAATTGTTTTTCAGTAAGTGATTAAGAGGTCATATTTTTGTTAGTATGTATAACATGAAATAAATGATTAGGCTCATAATCAGTCGATATTTATGAAACTTTTTAGAAAATTTCAAACAGAAAGTCGTTTAACTGGCCAAAATAAAACAATTTTTAAAGTAAATTTATTTAACCAATGAAAGTAGATTATCTTTATACTAAAAGCCCATACTAAAAATATCAAATATCTATACAGAATATAATAAAAATAATATTATCTTACCTTTACTTCTTTATCACAATAGAAATAAATGGTTGATGAATAGTTCGTTGTTTTATTGCAGGGTGTCGGAGAAATGTGGCGCATTATTAAATGACCATTTTCTATGACGGGTTTAGGTTGAACTGTGCCATAGTTTATAAATCTATAAATGTGTAATAAAGTGGAAAAGTAAAATGTTACTTAAAAAAAATTTCAAATTTCGTAAAACAATTCAACTTACTTCTTTTTATAGTCGGTTTCTTTAAGTTTCAAAAAGCATACACTGCTGTCAGCGGGACACATAGCATTTTCTCCATACAGCACTGGTTTGCAAATGTTAATTACAAAAACATTTCCTTGTCGGTCAATTGTTCTAAATAAACACATAAATATTGGAAATTATTTATTAAACATAAAATTAATTTGAAATGTATACTTGTATCATACAAGTTGTATGTATACATAAATTTTATACATATGAGTAATTTACCTGTAATTATTATCACTTAGTGGCATTAGGTCGAATGTATGACCTGTGCTGCTATCGTGCACATTGCAAATGTTACCTTTAACACTGTCCGGTTCTGGTAAACAGGCCAAGGGCGTTTCAAAGGTTATGTAAAAAGAACAAGCATCAGGAGCCTAGAATTTAAGATTAGATAATAAACAAGGTGAAATGTGGAAATTAAGTTATATAAACTGATTAATATAAATTTGTGGTAATATAAATCATGAAATCGAAATTTCAAAACCTGACAGCCATGATTATAACGAATATTGGATATTAGGTTCGAATATTAGATATTTATTTACCTTAATACAAAATTTTTCAAAAATTGACTTTTTTCAAAAATGCTTTATAAGGGGAGAGGCTTAAATATGAGCATATCTCCATTAAATTTGGTGGAAGGATTTATGTTAATATAAAAATTATTTATAATGACTACCGCATTACTCTAATATTATACAGGAAAGTTATAGAATTCAAGTCATTTGCTGAAGGAGGATTTGCTTGGGACTGGGGTCAAATGCGAATGGATTATTTAACAAATATCACTAAGGCTTATACGAAACTTTTTCCGTTTTTTGCAATGATCGACTTTTTTTGATCCTAGTCACCATACAAACCTCTCCTCAGAAAACGTGAAATCTGTACTTCACTTATAAACAATAGTATATAAATAAGTTTTATGTAAATATTTTTAGGGTTGGGTCATTTTTGACCCTATAATACATCTTTAAGAAATTCAGTTTTTGAGCAATTTTGAACAGACGTAGTTTTCTAAAAGATTAACAAGTAAGAGAATTATATTCGGCTATGTTGAATCTTATCAAATTGTGCTGTAAGTAAATTTCGGAAGGTCTTCTCATTTATTTGATAATTGCTAAATTTTATTATTCGAAAGGGTTATGGACCAAGCTTTACAGAATTAAAAGTTACTAGTTTCTTAAAAAAACTAATTTCTGTTGGAAATTATGATATTTATTAAGCAATAAATTAATTTTAGGAAGGGAACCTTATACGGGGAATAACGTCAATTATGGACCGATCCTGAGGAAATATTTGTTCTTATAAAACTTGTTTATTACAATTTTATATGGGGGTAGGATCATTTATGGACCGATTAATATGGGGGCACCACCAATTCTGAAACCATCTTTATGAAATGTGGTAAAGAGGTTTTTAATCTTATAAATCTTGTTTATGACAAATTTCACCACTATAATCATATTATTAAGTCAATTATGAGCATTAAAGTCATTCTATGAAGGGGACCTTATAAGGGGGAATTTATAATCTTATGTAGAGAAATTTATAATCTTATAAAGCATGTTTGTGTGAAATATGATCCTATTATTAGGCCAATTGCGAGACTTAAAGTCATTTTCTGAAGGGGCCCATATATGACGGGTAGATTTAATTATGGTCCGAAGCCTGCCATACATGACAGTATAATTTGTACACAATAATTTGTACGTGTACAAAACTAGTTTTTATTACGATTCCTTCATAATTAACTTATTTATGACTCATTAACCTATGTTCCGAAGGTCCACTTGTAAAGGCGCTAGGTGAAATCGTAGACCGTTATTTCTCGTTTACAATACCAAACCAACGTTATAAGTAGAGAAAAAATTGTTCAAAATATTAACTCTCTAGTTGCCTTTCCCGTGTGGCCTCTACCGTGCTTTTAACAGACTGACGGACATGGAAATATCGTATTGCGGGTCTACGACCAATATTATAAACGAAATGACAAAATCAATATACCCTTTTTTGATGGTGGATATAATAAATAGTAGGGTTTCTATATAAACTATGAACTAAAATACTGTGTAAATGATACTGAAAAATTTCATAATGATCGACCCTTATTTGACCCTAGCCCTCCTACAAAGCCCACTCTGAAAATGGCTTGAACGTCGTTAATTCCTTATAAACACTTCTATTTCGATTTTCGAATACGGAATAACAAAAAAACCTTTACCAAATTTTGTTAGGATGGGTTCATATTTGACCCTAGATCCCATATATAAATCAGAATTTAATCAAAAATATTTCGAAATTAAGGCAAAATTTAACATAAATGCTTTTTTATTAAAAATAATATACATTTAAGATATAATCATAACCGATATAAGGTATCATATGGTTGGCCCTGGCCGAATATATTTTTTACTTGTTTTTTTAATAGACTTTTTTGATTGATGGTCAAATCGGAAAAAAATATAAATCCAGTATAAACATTTAATATAAACTGGCAACTCTGTACAAAGTTAACTACATGGAGAGAAATGCATATACTTATTTTTATTCATGAATCATCATTTATATGCAGTGATGGGAACTATGGCACTCAAGTGTTTCTACTTTTTCTTATCAAAATATCAAATTGCGTATCAGATTGAAATTATTCATTTGAATTTTTACAAAACTTATGCAAAATAATTAGTTTAATGTTATCCCACTTTAAATACATAATTTTACAGTTAATAAAAAAAAGGATCAATGAGACATTTGTTACGAATTACACTCAAACCTCGTTTTATGAGACTAATTCGCACAAAACGTTTCACTAGCACAAATACAAAATCCACTAATTTGGTTTTACATAAAAAGACAAACATAATTGCGTTCCAAAATAAAACAACACAAAATTTAAATCTTTACTGAAACCATAAAAATATGAACAATACGAATTCCAAATGAAGAAAATATGTATATAAAATGTCCAAAAAGTAAAAAATAATGTTCCTACATGTACAAAGGATTTGAACAATCAATACTTTATATATCCGAACCGGAATTGGTATAAAATCAGGAGTAGTACTTTGTTGAGAACTCCTTTTTGGTTATATGTGGTCCAACATTTTCCTCAAAATCATTTTTACACAGAAAAAAATTATAATTTTGAATCCGCATAAAACTACGTTTGAGTGTACTTTTGTATCAATTGCTTAAAACTGACTTGTCTCTTTCGTGTACAATTTTTTTTTGCAACTCTATGACAAGAATATTAAACATTAAAAATCCCAACTCTGCCGTTTTGTTTTTGTTAGTTTAAAATTTTTTGCCTGTTGAGCTAGAGGTGTTTATTATAATTTATAATTTCACAACATCGAACAGATATTACAGATATTCTATAAAATATTATACATAATTTAAAACATTTAATAATTGCAGATTTAAAATGAAAATTATATTAAAAAATACACGTAAAGAAGTGGAAATATATAAAAGCGCCGCCGACTACAATGGAGAGCAAGATAAAGCAGAAGATAAACTTGATACAAAACCCATGATTTTACAGGAAGATGATTTTTGGACATATTTAGATATGAATGCTAATAATATTCAAATATTAACACTTGAAACTGAAACTTCTTGTGAAGAATTTCTGATGGATGTAATAAGTTGTGAGACATTTTATTGTAATTTTCACAATAAGGTATTGAAGAATTTAAAACACCTAAGGAAATTAAAAGTGATGTCAACGAATATGTTTCGCTTTACTAATGAATTTTTTAATACACTCAATAACTCTTGTACTGAACTGGAAAGTCTGAGCTTATATTATTGTAATGTAAAGGAATTTACACCGGTTTCTACATTAAAGGAACTAGAATTGAAGCACTGCAATGGTTTTACTTGGAATAATTTTCAAACAATATTAGGTGAAATGAATTTAAAAGCTATTACTTCCTATGCTACTCGTTATAAGGGTAAAGTCGAATACTTTGAAATTGTCTCAAATTTGGAACATATAAGTTTGCATTACAACATCGTCAACAATATTAAAATCTTATTCCGCAAAAATCAGGAAAAACTTAAAAATCTTAAAACATTAGATTGGGCTCTTGATTTTACTAAACATTTATGGATTAATGCCACAAACTGTCCAAATCTTGAAACTTTAACAGTGAAACCTCGAAATTTATTATTTGAAAACTTACCGGGTTTTATGTATTTAAAAACATTAAACTTAAATGTATATAATGATTTCTTTGATTCGGATATAGTTCATGTTATAAAACATTCAACAATAAAGAATTTCACTATTAATATGGCAAATTATAATTGGTTGATTGATATGTATGAATATAATAAAAGTTATGATACTGAATGGGCAAATTTGAAAACAGATCTGTTGCATATACAACTTAATTATGATAAAACATTATCGCCCATTTTGCATAATTGGTATAAATTATTGGAGAATAATCATAAATTAACTCTCAAACTGAAATTTGGCAATTTAATTGATAGACCTGCTTTGGAAGAGATTCTAGGTAATCAAAGTTTTCCAAAACGTTTAAAATCAATCAACATATGTGGCGAAATTATTGGTAAATATAAATACATAAACTATAGATACAATGAAATCAATTAGTGTGCTTGTAATTAAGTCAGAGGTCGGCAACTGACGAGAGAATTCATTAGTACTAAATTAGGCTATGCTGAATATTATACACTCAGCACAATAGATAGTTTTTTATAGAAATATAAAATTTTATTTTAATTTAAATTAATAAATATTCTTTTTTATGCAATTTAATGGCGTAAAATAAACCAAATTATCATAAAAGTTCCAGAATATTATAAAATTAAACTAATTAAAAAATTTAACTAATTAGTATTATAATTGGCGATCTCATGTTCATCGACTATTAAATATATTAGTAACTTTTTAACTTTAAATTCTCTTACTGCTGATAACTGATTTAAATACTGCAATAAATATATTTATGTACAAGAGTTTAATGGATTATTCCTTTTTTTCATATCTTTACAGATTGCAGTGAACTTAAGAGTAATTATTCTACTGTGATTGAAAAAGCGACAATTATAATACAAAACAATAAACTGAATGAAAATAATCAATATATTTTATTATAAAATTATGTATTTAGTTTCGAAAACTAATATCCCTGAATAAAAATAATCAATATATTTTATTATAAAATTATGTATTTAGTTTCGAAAACTAATATCCCTGAATAAAAATAATCAATATATTTTATTATAAAATTATGTATTTAGTTTCAAAAACTAATATCCATGTAGAAAATAACATATTTGGTTGATAAAAATGTTAATTATAAATTAACTATTTTGCAAATGACTACAAATTGGTTTAAATCTCATGCAGATATCAACCAAACATATTGTTTAGAAATAAACTTAAGAAAGAAATAAAAATTAAACAAGTAAGAAATTATAGTCGGGCGAGGCCGACCATATAATACCCTACACCTTTGACAAAAATATAATGTGATTTAGTTGCCATAATAAAGCATTTAAGTTGAATTGTACCTTGCCTTAGATATACATACTTAAGCCGTTTATTGTTGAATAAAATTGTGGACATTTAAGTGAAATTTTGATGGGGGCTTTTCATAGGGACTAGGGTCATATGAGAACCTATTATTATGGAATTCGTGAGGGTCATCAAGTCTTGTATACAACTTGGTTATTGCAGCTTTTTGTCGAGATATGAGTATATTAAACATAATTATGAACTAGGTGAAATAATGGACCGATGTAAACAATTTTCAACAGGCTTCATCTACGGTACCATAAAAGATCATGTGCCAAATTTCATTGAATTATCTCCAAAATTGCGACCTGCAGTTTGATTACAAGGTTTAAAAGCCCTATTCGGGGGTTCAGTTGTATGGGGGCTAGGTGAAATAATGGACCGATGTTAACCATTTTCAATAGGCTTCGTCTACGATACCATAAAAGATCATGTGCCAAATTTCATTGAATTATCTTCAAAATTGCGACCTGTAGTTTGATTACAAGGATTACAAGCCCTATTGGGGGGTTCAGTTGTATGGGGGCTAGGTTAGGAAATAATAGACCGATCTTAACGATCTTCAAAATTGCGACCTGTAGTTTGATTACAAGGTTTACATGGACGGACGGACGGACAGATTCTGAGCCGACTGGTATACTTTAAGGTGGGTATAGGACCAATATTATTGTGCTTTACAAACATCAGCACAAACCCAATATACCCTCCCCACTAAAGTGGTGTAGGGTATAAAAAAAGACAAGAAGCCTCCCATGAAATCAAATGTCAATCAAAGCGAACAAAGTCTTTTAGGTGGTGCTCAATTTTAATAAAAATAACAAGAAAAAACAATTAAATATTAAGAATTTGTGATAAAATTGATAAAGATGATATTGTTACATATAAAATAGGTCATTGAAATAAATAAAGTATAGTATATAAACAGTTCAAGCTTTATAGTTTCATGTGGGAACTTTTTTAAAGTTTAACTAATGGAATTAGAAATAAATGCATGTATACTTATATGTAATAAAACAAAAATTATATTCTTGATTCTAATATATTGCCTCAAAACAAATGTTCACAAAAAAATTGGATTCATCCCACCAAAATTCGCAATATTATTAAAAAACGATATATTCCACGAAATCGTTGATTATTTAAACAATAAAGATCTATTAATGTTAACTAAATTTTGTACAACATTTCGCAATGTTGTCATTGAAATAAAGACGATGAAGCAAATTATAAATTTTAATTATTATTCTGAATAATTCACATATCAATTAGAAGTAAATAAAAAATTTTATAATTACCAAAAGGTTATTTTAAATGGTCTAATTTAAAATTCCTATAATAATAACTTGTAAGCAACAGAAGTTGTTTTCCTCTTTTTTTAAAGAGTAATAATTTGTAATGATTTGAACTTGAATTACATACAATTTTAGAAAAATTTATTTATCTGATCAAAAATTAATATAATATTTGATCTACTGCAGATATAAATCGTTTTAATAACTTCCTCGCAAAAGCTCTTAAAGAAGCCAATTCGATATAGCACAAGAACTTTATTATAGATTAAGAAATAAAAAAAAATTATCATTTTTGTTTTGTTTAATACTTACATATGATGTTACGCGTGATTGATTTTTATCCAACGTATAATCACAACCTAAAAATACATGCAATTGATAGGTTTCATCTTTTTTATTAGAACTGGAACATTTTTCGCCATTGGAAAAACTAAAATACATTTTGCCATTATGATAGTTTAATTGATGTTGAGTACCTATAATCAGATAAAACATAACAATATTAGTATTTCAATAAACTTGGCTATTAACAACAAAACTTAACCCAATATATATTCTTTATCATCGGATCTTTTGAGACAAGCAGCAACATCAGAGCGATTATTACATTTGCGTGTTATATTACCGCATATATTAAATTCGAATGTATCACCCAAATCACTGCGTGTAAGGTGGGCAAAATCTGAATGTAAGGCACTAAAATCGAATTTATGTCCATAGACTGGCTCTGTAATGGAGCATTCATTAGTGGATAGAATCTGTAAAATAAAAATATAATTTATGCATTAAAATTAAATCATATCAAAGTACAAATGCTCAGTTGTAATAGAAGTGGATGAAGTGGAAAAATACCTTATACACTGCAAATTTTTTATAGTTAAAAATATTAATTGCTTAATACATATGTAGATATACTATTAATAAAGAATTTATTTTAATAATACATATTATTATGGCTCTAAAAATGGTGGTGCAACAGGCAGACGCGAGTATAATGTTACAGTTTTGGTGAGGGTATAGGTTAGCTAGTTAAAATTGCTTATTTAAAACAAACCTTTAAGATTTTGTTCTACTGCTTTTGGAAGTAGGACAGTAATTGATATAATGGTATATTATGGACCGATCAACAAGATATGATACGATATGATTTTTGAAACTAATTTGTGTGAGATTTCGTATCACTGCCAAAATTAATAAACGATTTAGAATGTATGTATGTATATTAGGGTTATAAACAAAATTTAGCCCTTATAAGTTGTGCCTGTAGTGTTTTAATAATGAAACTTTTTACTCGGGTCATTTTGGTACAAAAATCTTCCGTGGAAAATCGTTTCTCTAAAGCCATTTATAAATTTAAATAAATGTTTAATTGTATAATCCACATACATGTTTGGGTACCTAATTTGGAAGAAGGATAAATATCGGCAACTATCCTTGCATTTTCTCCCATAGCATTGGGAATAACCTTTTATGACCAACCTCGCTTTATATCGCTCTATATCACCTTTAGAGTTCCTCTTTATTTTGAAACACCATTTGCTATCAATAGGTTTCTTTCCTTTTGGTAGTTTTACAAGTTCCCATGTTCCATTTTCAATTAAAGCGTTTAGTTCTTCATCCATAGCCCGTTGCCATTCTCACAGATGGTCCAGGTACCCAGTCGTTACTTTGATCATCATTGTTTCTAGGCGATGTCTCATCAGTATCAGAAAAATATTGATCTTCATCAGAATTACTTTCTTCTCCAATACTGAATGAAAAATTTATTTTTCTATCAATAAATTTTCTAATTAAAATTTACAAACTAAATTGTTTAAATTCAAAGTAAACAAAACAAGTATATTATAAAGGAAGTTCATTCTCATTCTCCAACAAATTAGTACTATTCAAAACTTAAATTTTCCATGTCTGTTTTTCTGAAAAATACCCGCTTTCGACAATAAATTATCTCCAAATTTATTGCAAAAATCATTGGCAACACTGTTAATAAGAGAAATAAATAATTACTACTCTCTCTCTCTTTGAAAGATAAATAAAAATAAACAAAACAAAGACAAAAATGTCAAAAACATATGACGAAGCAAAACAACAACAAACCGTTACATGACGCTTGATATTAAAAACCTACCCTCCTCACCCTGCCTTCAATTTCCACACTCCATAAACTAACCAACCACCTTTTTCTCTTCTTTAATAAAATATACAATATAACTACATACAAAAACAAACATGGATTCTAATCGAAAGGAAATATTAAACGTAGTACTTCTATTGGCAAAAAAATACTTTCAATTAAAAAATTGCACTTGAACACTTACCAAAGGATTTTCATTGCCAACACTGGACGCATGCATGACCTTGCATCCTATTAGCAGAAGGCACCAAATTGGCGTCAAGTCTTTAAACATGATGACTTCAAAATAACAATAACAACAGTAACTGGAAGTGAAAAATGCTTCAAGTCAGGTGTTTTTTATTGTTGTTGTAGGTGAAATATTTTAAAAGGGTAGTTTGGTTGGTAGAATGTTATTAATAAAAACAAATTCTTTTGTTCTTTATTGTAATCTATTTGCTAAATTTAGCACATTTTAACTTTGGTTTATATTCCCACTTTTAAATTAATTAACAAAGAACTTATTTTTATTATTTTTACTAATCACTTGTTATCAATTAATAACTGGTGCTTTATTTACTTTTTTCACTCAATTGTTTTTTTATTAACACAATTGTAAAATGATAGTAGAAAATTATTTTGCTTTATCAAAAAAAAAAAAATGGACGCGAACGCCGGTATTAAAAAACACAATAATTTACACGAAACCGTTTTTTCTTTTTCTTTATACAATTTTTAACGCTTGAATGATTAATGCGTTGCTAAACAATATTATTTTTATATTTGTTTTAACGTAATTTTTAACATTAAATTTTAAAGGCCAAAATACAATAATCTAATAAGAACTTGCAAATGCAATCCGCGCAATTGAAAATTCACGACAAAACTGGCGCAGGTGCAACAAAACAGAACATGATTGTTGCTAAATGTCAAAGTTTTGTTATTGTTTTTGTACGTATTATCTTTTTGTGTGGACAGGGTTGTATTTAGTGGTATGTTAAAAAAGAATACCGTTATAATTATGGATTTCAATTTATTTTGCATTTATACTTTTTGGTAATTTATACAAATCGTAGCGAAATATTTTGCTTATTAAAATTTCTCATAATATTTGAGTGTCGGACCAAGCAGGAAAATATTTTGAAATATTATGTTCAAAATTTTGCGGTGATACCGATATTTTTGACGAAGTTATTAATGATAAATCCATTTCCGAGAATATGTACCTTTTTATGGGGGCTATGGGAAATGTTGGTTCGATTGTTTTGATTTTGAACATAATCCCTGGGCGATAAAAATAACATGTGACAAAATTCATCGAATTACCTTTGGTAGTTTATGAGAAAACTACTCGAGAATTAGGAAAAAAAGGTCACTTTTTTCGAGGTTGTCTAAAATTTTTACTTATAACTTTATACTTTGTGAACCGATTTCGTTGATTTTCAATATCAAACTGCTGACAATAATAAATATATTCGGTGAATTTGGTTGATGTCCTTTACTTAGTTTTACCGTGAGCGTCGACTCAGAATTTGATAAGGAATGGGTCTCAGATGAATATTTATTGGTTTTACACAAGGAATGACCAACTTATATATCGTCACCTGAAATGCAAATGGTACGTAACAACCAAAAATTGACTTTTTGATTGAAAATGGCCCACTGCATCAAAATACATGTTGTCGCATATTTTAAGAACTCTATTGTCAAAAACACTCGACTTTATTAACATGAAATTCAAAAGAGCGTAAAACAAATTAGTCATTTGCACCCGCCACAACGTCCTAAAAAGCAACATAATACATAAGGACTGGCGGTACACTTGTATTAAAATGTGTTTATTGATGGTAGTATGTAATACATGTAATAAAATTTAATTTTTATAACAATAACAGTTTTCAAGTGTTGTTACGCCGTTTTGCATTTAAGGTGACGATATAACCTTGTAGTAAGTAATTATACTTGCTTACATTCCATTTCATAGAGATACACTATTTTAAAAGGGGACATTAATGATGCGATTTGTTCAAACGTAGTTACAACCTATTTTTAATCAAAAGTATCTACATCTATTCACAATGGAAATTTCACATAAATAAGTTTAAAACAATTTCAAAAATTAAGAAAATGCAATTGTTGCAATTTTATTTATTTGATTTTCTTTTGCTATCATGATGTTTAGATGATTTAGATTTACCTGACGAAGAATGTTTCTTATTAGTCGATGAAGTTGAAGATATGGATGATGAATTGATGGTAGTCACTTTACTACTGTTACTACCCGTTGACATACGATCTTCGCGATGAGACTTTGAAGATGATGACGACGTTTTACCGCTTACTACAGAATTTACCACCTGTACGTGTTCTATTTTATGATACGGCGACGATGAATTTGATGAAGATGATGATCTGGAAGAAGTAGCCGATGATTTCGATTTTATAGATGGTACTGAGTTGGTAATTAAGGGCATTGGTTCATCAGGTATAACGACAACACCGGGAGTACAACTGCCACTTAGCTTAGTCGTTGCTGTGGACGTAGCCGTTGTTGGCTTCCCAATACAATTATCGCACTGCCAATTATGGCCCTGTTCTTCGGATGCTTCCTCATCGCTAATTGGTGGCTTATGACATTCTTGGTGATATAGCGCTCCACACTTCGAGCATTCGATCAGACGGTTTGTAGCTGTAAATCGAATTTCACCACATACACAACAATTTAAATCACCAAACTCCTTGAGATTGGTTTCATCTTCGGCTGTCGTCGACAGTATACCTCCGGCTCCACTAACAGCATCATCTGAATCAGCTATAGTGTCAGGAGAATCCGATATGGTTTTAGCCGGCGAATGTATTAGATTTATAACTTCCTCCGTCTCTACTGGTTGCGGTGGTGGGGTGGCTGCTCTTCCGGGGAAATTTGCCTCATCATCCAACTGTTTCTTGCTCAAACTATTCGTAATGGTTTTTTCGGAGCCATAGCGTTTCTTAATCTCCTCATCCAGCAGCAAACGCAACTCAGTGGCCGAATTTGCATGTGAAGAATGTAGAAGAGTTACTGCTTTTTTAAGTAATATTTCAATTTCATTGGTAGTGGTCATAATGAAATGTTGTCGCTTTCTCCTTTGTAAAAAATAGTTTTACCTTTCTTTTATTTAAACTTAAATGCAACTAGTTTTAAAACAATTATTTAAGAAACATCAAAAAGAAAAAAACACAGCAACCAATGAAACAGGCTTGCCAGACTTTGAAAACTGTTCCCCAGTTAAGGAGTTTAAAATTATTTATTCAAATCCCGGTTATTCTATAAAAATTAGTGTTTAAAATTAATATTGATGATAATTTATTAAAGAAAAACTTAAACTCGGTTTGTTTATTTTTATAGAACATATACTTCGTTTTTGAATTCACATAACACAGCTACATGTTAATATAAGTTAATGTTAAGTTAATTTTTGTTTGTGGCTACTCTGGACAAACAGCTGTTTTATATTTAATGCTACCAGATTGCTAGTAGACTAATTTTTTTAGGGTTCTATAAATCGACTTTCGAATAATCGAACAATCGACTTTTTGTCGAAAAAAGTCGAAAAGTCGAAGTCGACTATTTTGTTCCAAAAAAGTCGATAACTCTACTATCATCTATGAAAAAAGTCGAAAAGTCGACTTTGTAAATAAAAGTCGAAAAAAGTCGAAAAGTCAAAAAATCGGAAAGTCGAAAAAAGTTGAAAAGTCGAAAAAAGTCGATAAGTCGAAAAAAGTCGAAGAAAGTCGAAAAAAGTCGAAAGTCGAAAACTCTAAAATAGTCGGAAAACGAAAAAAGTAAAAAAAATAGTCGAATATAGTCGAAATAAATCGAAAATAGTCAAAAAGTCGTAAAAAATCAAAAAGTCGGAAAAAGTCGAAAAAAGTCGAAAAGTCGAAAAAAGTCGGAAAAAGTCGAAAAAAGTCGAAAAGTCGACCATTTATAAAATACTAAAAGTCGAAAAATCTAAAAGTCGACTTTTAAATAAATGAAAAAGGTCGAAAAGTCGAAAAATCGACTCTTCATAAAATGGAAAAAGTCGAAAGGTCGAAAAGTCGACTTTTAACTAAATGCAAAAAGTCGAAAAGTCGACTTTTCGTTCCAACTATAGAACCCTAATTTTTTTATTTAAAAATGCATAATTTACAGGATATAATACAATTTAATCCTTAAATTAGGGTGGAATTTTGGACTCATAACCACCCGATAACTAATGCTATGTTATGAACGAAAATTATGTCTTCAGTTCATTTGACTAAAATAATTTTTTTTAAATATACAAAACCTACAGAAAAATATAAATTGCATACTTTTTTATTGAATTAACGGAAATAAATCTCAATTACTGTTGCAATTTTATGAAATATCTATATACACATAGCTGTTGTTAACTAATTGAAAACGCTATTTTTATATTATCGCTTAAGCAGTGGTGGACGTGGCTCATCTCGTGCCTATTATCAATATCAAATTGAATTAAATAAAAAAATCGTATATGTTAGTTCCTTTAATAACAACGGAAGAATAATTATTGTTCCATTACTGAAATCCGCCTCCTATTATACATTCGGCCGAAAATGTTAAACTCCCCTTCGGAATACGTAAATCGAATGTGAATATTTACTACAAGATTGGCATAATCATAATGTATATATAATCATATCGTATAATCAAATTTCAAAAATGTCTATAATTATCGGTGTGAGATCGATTTTTTGTTGTAAATGTAAAAACTAAAACTCTTGTTTTCAAGAACATTAGATAAAAATGTAGATGAGAAATATATCGTCACCTGAAATGCAAAAGGGCGTAACAACACTTTTCAAAATTTTACAGGAGAGACAGAAAACTAAATAAAATTAAAACTATTGTTATTATAAAAATGTCTCTTTCTTCCATGCATTATATCCAAACATCAATAAACATGTTTAAATATAAATGTGACTCCAAATGCTTTTTAGAACATTCTGATTTGTAAAAATGACTAATTTATTGTTACGCCCTTTTGAATTTCATGTTAATAAAATTGGTGTTTTTGACAATAAAGTTCTACAAATTTTCGACAACTTGTATATCGATGTGGTGGACCATTTTCAATCAAATCAGTCGATTTTCAAATTTTTGGTTGTTACGCCTCTTTGCATTTCAGGTGACGATATTAACCTTTACTATCTGAACCTGGATTAATTTTTCAAATCCCTTGATTTGTTTAATAGTTAAATGTTATTTTTTTGAATTATGCCAGTCTTGCAGTAAATGAGCGATATATAAAATTTGCATTTTCGAAATTCAGTTACAAATTTTAAAACTTACTAGCAAATTAATAGCAGAATAAATTAAATAAAATCTTGTAAAAAATAAAATTTGTATCGCAGAAGAAATTGTATTCGGAGAATATTATTTTTATTTCAAAGTAAAAATTAAAATATATTTAAACAAAACTAAACTATTCAAATAAAATTTCGTAAATTCAAACTTAACATTTATTTGTTTATCAAATGAAATGCACACACACGCAGTATGTTATAAAATAATTTAACACGTACAATACAAAGAAAAAATTTATCGCGACAAAAATTTATCACTTAAAAAATGTACAAATCAGTAAAAATGTTTGCAATAGAGTATAAAACAAAAAAATTTTCAAAAATGCCTTAATTGTGCTTTAAGGAATGTTTTAATGTTTTTTAAGTTAAATTAAGCTGTATAATGATTATAAGGTTTAATAATGTAAAATGTAATAAGGGAAAATATTTAATGAATTTAAGCCATGTCTACTAATATTTAAAACAAAACAAGACTAATTCTGTGGCAAATAGGGAAAAGGTGCAAAAGTAATATTTTCAACATTTCTTAAAATTTTTTTTGAATTATATTTGGTCCGTTTTGTATAACAAAAATTAACACAACATAAAGACAGAAATGTGTGATTATGGGAATTTAGGAGTATCGATTTTTTTTTTAACGATTGTTGGATGGATCTTCAAATAAATATTATAATTCAATCGATTTATAATTCAATAGATACTATCTGCAAAATAGTGCCGAAAAGGTTGATATATGTAATTAATACAAAAACAAATAAAATATTAAAAAAAAATAAGACCAAAAAATTTCCTTTATAGTTGAATAAATAATAATTACTGAATGTTATCATGTGCTTCCTTAATAATTTAGAGTACATCCTACAAAGGTGTATTTTGAATTCTACGAGATTTTTTCACAGTCACTGCTGGCGTACGGGGACTATCAGAGCCATCATCACCACTGCCAACTTTACGTACTTTAACTCTAGTAACAGGAGTGGAATTTGATAAATTCGATGTAGTGTGCTTTCCCGAGGGAGTATTTCGGCTAGATGAAGAGTTATCCTGAATTTCCTGAGAGAGTTGTAAAGGTTTCTTTTTACGTTTAACATTAACTATAACATTTGCATCCATACTAACATCTAGTTCAAAGTTAAATTCATATGTTTTGGCGGGTTTACGATTGGGCGTTACACGATCATTGATTACAGTTTTTCCTGAACGTGTTGAGGACATTGTTACGGCGGGCGACATACGTATATTGGCTTTGGCATTTAGAGGTGTATGTCGGGTTTTTGTGGCCGGTGATGATGAAGTTAATGATGTTGTTTTTAGTGGTGAATTTCGTTTTAACGGCGTGTGTTTTGTTCGAATGGGCGATTTTGTGTTATTAAGTCTACTGCGTTTAGAGGGCGAAGGTGATGTTTCAGAGTTGCTCGAATCATTTTTGCTTCTTCTTTTGAGAGAATTGTTGGCTAAAACTCTTTGTTTGGGTGTTAGTTTAACTGCGGTTTTTAAGGGTCTTTTGGTTTCCTTTTTCAATGGCTTTTTGTTATTAAGATATACAACATCATCATCGTCATCATCGCTGGCATTTATTATTTCATCTTCAGACTCTTTATCGGATTCTGTTTCTGAAGCCAATACCTCTTTTTTGATCCTTTTCTTGGCAGCGGCTACCTTAATCGGCTTGCTAGTTGAGGGTGAACTAATTTTAGAGTCGCCTTTTACTTTGAACTCCAAATCCCCAGTTAACGGCATTTTTAATGTTTTCAGAGCAGACGTAAACATTTTACGACATTTTTCATAGTCCGGTGTATCATTGTACTCCATTTTTGCCACATACTTAAAGAAGTCAACCAAAGCACTGGGTACTCCCTTGGCAAAAAGTTTTTTTAGACTTGCCCCTACATCAGACATGAAATTCTCCTTAGCTTTTTGCACCTTTACTGGGCTGGTCAGTATTTTATCTTTCACCCAAGGCAATTCGGCACCCAACCACTCGATTAAATTATAACCCAAAATTTCCAAATCAGCCCTCATAGTAGGCACTCCCAAATGGGCATCACGTGATGTATACTCGATGGTGCCATTATGCATTTTCTTTGGATCGGGTTTAAAATCTTTAGTTGTATAGTGTGAAGCCAGACCAAAATCCACAAGGTACGCTTGATGTTGTTGCTGTTTGCCATAACCCAATAGTATATTAGCTGCCTTAAGGTCAGCATGTACATAACCGCAACCATGTATAAATTCATAAACATCCAGCATTTGCAAGGCTAAACGATAACATGTGGCTTCGGGTAATCGGCGTCCATTGGCTAAGAAATGTTTGGCCACATCACTGCCATAACGAGGCATGACAATGAAACGATGTTTAATACCATTAATTTCCGCAGAGCCATTGCCAATCATATAGGGCATACCTAAACTCTTGAGTCCATGCTCCTTTTGGAATTTGTTTATGTCATCAAAGCGGGCATTACGCATATAAAAATGCATTTCGACAAAAAGTGGTCCATTATCATGAGGTTCCTAGAGCGACAAATGCAAATGAATAAAATGTTAAGAAAAACACAAACACCTTTTTTATTTACTTACGCATTTCACCACATAGTCGTATTTATTTTCTGCTTTCTTGGAAGCCGAGTATATTTCTCCAAAACCTCCAGTACCTATTGAAGGACCTATTTTCCATTCAGTTTTCATGAGATCCCTTAAAATAGTACCTTCTTTGATTTTTTCTGGCATACTATACAACTTGGATTTCTTAGCTACTGCAGCGGCCTTTTTGGCGCCTCCTCCAGTTGCACCACCAGCTACATTTCTTTTTGCTGCAACTTTCGGCATGGTACTTATATGCGGTTATGTCTTGTATTATTGAATTCCACAAATATTACTTTAAAATGTTTCACGTTATTGAGGACGCTATATTTTTTCCATATATTTACGCTTTGCGTCTGTTTTTTTTTTTTTTTTGTGGAAAAATAGCTTGCCGTTTTTTGTTTTCAAACTTGTTTTGACATTTTTTTGTGCAACATGATGTCACAGTGTTGTATTTTTTGTGTGCTTTCGTTAAGTTTGATTTTGGATTTCACAACATTATTGGCATTACTCCCGCAGCATGGTACTGCCAGATTATAAAAATGTAATATAAAGGAAATATTTATTGCAGATTTTTTGGATTTTTTAAATTCACACAAATTAGTACATCACTCAATTTTACTTTTAAAATATTAATATTAAATACTTAAATTTGGTTGTAGTTGATAATGAAATATTATGACGAAAATCTTCAATGGCTTTATTTTTATGTATTATCGTTCATTTACTAGATCATAATCCAAACCCCAATTATGTTTTGTACAGTATTGTAGTAAATTAGGAATATGTATATACAATTCAGTTTTTTATATTAAAAACGATTAACTCGCTGTAGTTTCTGAAGTAAGTTAAATTTGATATCAAAATCGATAATAGAAAAAAGTTTAAAGCCACACATCAAATTTGTTTGACACAAACTGTAAGTTTTTTTATTGTGTTAGTGAAAAACTCACATGTATATATGCGGTGTGAGTTTTTTTACTAACGCAATCAAAAAACTTACCGTTTGAGTCAAATAATTTGATGTGTAGCTAAGGCGCTTAAATAGCTACATAGAAATAATATTCTTCTTTTGGAATTTAAATAGTCCGGCATCACCATACTTAACGAATAATTAATAGTGCTGCCAAGTTTCTTAAGCATTGGCGGCCATTACTACTTTATTTGCATTTTCCGCGTCTCTCTATCGACATTCGTAAAAAGAAATTCGTTTCGTTCGGTAGTGTGTAAAGTGAAGAAAAAAATATTTTTGTTTGGAAAATATCACAAAGCCAAGAATATATTAAATCAAATATTCATTCCAAATATTTATAACTAAAGAAAGCATTTCAAAAATTCAATAAAAATGGTAAAACATCTAGTTAATTTTATAGTGATAGAAAAAATGTGAAATGAAAAAGCGAAAGAAAATGTCATTGTGAATGGGGCCAATTGCTTGGTTGAAATGATGGGAGCGTGCGTGCGTGTAAATCCCAAGAAAATGGAAATGTTAAGAAACCCGAAATGATATGAAAATAGAGACAACAAAATATTTGTGTATAAATGAAATCAAGTTTTATAATTAATGTAAATTATAATTTAAATATTAAAATAAGCACGAATGATTTATAACCTCACTTTTTATGTTTGAAAAAGAGTAAAAGAAATGACAGATGAGCAGCACGACATGCCTGCCACAATGATATTTTGCTATTTGCTACGTTTACTTGGTTAAAATATACTTATTTTTGTTTATTTTTATTAAAGGCTGGTGGTAAAGCTGGTAAAGATTCAGGAAAAGCAAAAGCCAAAGCAGTTTCACGCTCCGCCAGAGCTGGTCTTCAGGTGAGTTAAAAATAAAATTAAATTTAAGCAACCAACCAACCCAAACAATACGCCGAAGAACACACACAGATAAAATCTCAGAAAATTTCCCGCCTTTTTCACTATATCAATGCTGAGGTTGTGTGTTTTGTATTTGGATACAGGGTGTATTTTTAAGTTGATGCTGCTATTTTTATTGTTTTTTTATAAATAGTTATAATAAAGAATATTTTCTATTTTATTTAGTTTCCTGTGGGTCGTATCCATCGTCATTTAAAAAGTCGCACTACCTCCCATGGTCGTGTAGGTGCCACCGCTGCCGTATATTCTGCTGCTATTTTGGAATACCTCACTGCTGAAGTAAGTTTATTTTTCTTTTATTTAATTATGAAATTTTTTGACAACAATCTTCCTTTATGTATGTATGCATATGTGTGTGAATGTATGAACGTCATTACGCGCCAAATGTTTTTCTTCTTTTTCTATTGCTATCACTTTCACACTTATTTATCCAAAACATAATGGTCATTTATTGTTTGTCGTCATCGTTGTAATGTAATGTTTCTATTCAATATTTTTTGTTATTGTTGTATATGCTGTACTCAATGTTTTATGTTGTTTTTGTGATGTTTTTATGGCCTATCTACTATATACCATATTTACTTAGGTTTCTTTTTTGGCGTCATTTGCCCGCCATTTTTCTTTATGTTTTCTTTCTTTGCGTACTTGTTTGTTTTTTGTTATGAACGAGGGTTGCCGTTTGTTTTTTACCTAATGTCAATAGATTTTGATTAAAATTAAATAATAAAAAAAAAGAGTCAAAAAATCGGAAAGCGAAAGTTTTGTTTTGGTTTTATATCAGGAATGTGTAATTGAAAATTTATGATTGGAATGTATGAATACTGTATAATGTTTACTTTTTTGGTACAATTGGATCTTGAAAAGTACAATGATACACTAATAAACTATTTGGTTTTAAAAAATAATCTAGGTTGAATTTCAAAGTAATTCAGTGTTTAAAGTACAACTTCAAAGGACGTTTAAGGTTCATTTTACTACAGACTTCTATGGTCTATTATGTTAACCAGTATATTGTGTAGTTTATAGATTATTTGATTGTCTAGTCTATAGACTAATCCATTGTCTAGTCTATAGACTAATTCATTGTCTAATCTGTTGTGTGGAGATTAGCTTATGAATAAGTCTGGGTATTCTAAAGACTACACTATTGTGTGGCGTATAGGCTGGTATCTAGTCCAATTTCTTAGGTTCCTATAAAAAAAAATTTTGTCATTGATGTACTGGTATATTTAAGCTAGTTATGTATGTATCACAAAACTATATAGGGGCTGGGTGAAATCGGTGACCGGTACTGCCAATTTCTATTACCAAACAACCTGTGTCAATAGGAAATATTTATGGAAAACTCTTATCGTTCGGACTCTTATCATGTTTTCAAGACGGACTTGGATAGATCGTCTTAGAATCAAATAAGGACCCATAATACAAATATGTAATTTTTGGGGTCTTAGACAAATCTGTGGTATAAAGGCAAAAGTACATAAGATGTTTTTTGTACTTTTCAGGAGAAAGTTTTGAAATTTTACATTCCAATACAAAACTATAGTAAAACAGATTTAAAAATTTCGATATTTTCAAAAGTTCTGATTCGATTTTTATGAAAACACAATATAGAGTTGAGAACGGTGATTTAAAAATACAAAAACATGATTTTTGCATAACTTGAGATATGTACCTTATCATTTTTGATGGTGGGTATATAAAGTATAATTTTTATGCTATTTTGTACTTTGAACTTGAAAATTCCATTTGCCATTCCTAATACATGTAAATTTATTTGATTGAAAAATATATAGCAAACCCATAACTGTACATAATACAGAAACTAATTAATTTTGGCGATTTTTACAGATTTTAATTAAATATTTTTGATAGTTTTCAAAATAAGCTCTCAGGAACTCGAGACATGCTGTATAAGAATCCTAAAAATTCGACTGAATTGTTTCGAGATACAAATTTGTTGAAATATAATTTAAATTGTTCTACTAAAATAACTTTCGCTTTCAATATATAAACATTTCATTCCGATATAATTTTTTTTAGGAGATTATTGATGTCTATTCATAGATTTCTTTCAAATAATATAAAATGTCGTTTGAGAAAGGGTTTAAGAAGGAGCTTGATTTCTTAAAAGCGTTTCAATCTAGTATGATTAATCCGTGTTTTCAGAATTGAATATATTTATGACCACTATGCTGTCCTTGGAAGTTCTTTTAATCTTATAAAAAGTTTTCAAATAGTATTATGGTCCTTAAGAAAAATTATTTAACAAACATTTTTCCCAATTTCTTTTTTTTTTTTAATGCATATTTAAAAATAATTTTGTTTGTCTTTTTAGGTACTTGAATTAGCTGGTAATGCTTCCAAAGATTTAAAAGTCAAACGTATCACACCCCGTCATTTACAATTAGCTATACGTGGTGACGAAGAATTGGATAGTCTTATTAAGGCCACTATTGCCGGTGGTGGTGTCATTCCACACATTCACAAATCTCTGATTGGCAAGAAAGAAGACAACGTACAAGACCCGCAAAGAAAAAATACTGTCATTCTTTCGCAAGGGTATTAATTTTAATAAATTTAATATACATTTTTTTTTAATTTCTAATAATAATTATATAAATCATAAACATAAAATAATAAATTTTATAAAACATTTTTTTTCATTATATTTTTAAAACGACTACACAACACAATATAATATAACCGTTTATAATTAATGATTTTCGTAAATTTCCTTTTTCGGTTTTGTTTGTTATAAAACACCATGCCCTTTTGTTTATCTACATACATACCTTTTTCGTATTCATTTATTAAATGATTTATTCTAAAAAATGTTTTTTTTTTCTTTCTTTCAATCTAATGAAAGGAGTTTTGATTATTTTTACTTTGATTTAATATTAAATTTAAATGAAAATGTTTTGCAAAAAGAACACAAGTAAAAAAACATAAAAAATTAACACAAGTATATAAATATTTAATATTAATTAAATTGAAAAAATAAAAAAAAAATAAATACAAAATTGACAAAAATTTAGATAAAACTAAATGTGTGTTTTAATTGTTCGTTATTTTTTATAGTTGTTATTCACTGTTCCACAACTAGTAATTTGAAAACAAATTTTAAATTTTTTCCTGATTAAATAAAAATAATCGATTAATCCATGTATTTTGTAAATAAAAGTTGAAACCCCGATAAATCAATATTAAACTAAATAGAATGCTATGTATATTCGGCTATGATGAATATCAAATACCCTCTCCCTTTATATGATGTATAAATGATCGAATTAAAGATTTTAGACATCTCTATATTAACATTTCATTAATATTGAAAACATTTTAGTAATGCCTTAAAGTATGCTGTGAAAAATTAACATCTAACGCACTGTTACACTATATACTTAAATGTTATATTTAACATAACATATGTTATGTAACGGAAAAATATATGGATATTGCGAAATACATAATTGGGGTATTCACACGGTGTGCTATCGAGTCTTGTCATTAAATACTAAAGTTTTATGATAGTTTTAAAAAATTGTT